TTAAGTACTTAACAATAGAGTTATTAAGTACTTAATAACTTGGTCATTTTTCAAAATAATTTTTACACCCATCACTACTTGTAAAGGATCCAGCTGGCATACCACGATATTTTCACCTTGATCATGCAGAAATCCCACTATCACCACATACATTGCACACTAAATCTCTTGTCATTTATTACTAACCTTAAGAAACATTATGATCATGAATAAAAGCTTACTAATGCAGGCATTAGAACAAGCTAGATCACATCCACCACGAAATCCAAAATTAAGTCCTGTAGTTACTTCACCATCACATTACTAATACACTTTCTACAAAAGTTCTTTATATTTTATTTTTTAACATACAGATCAAATAAAGTATACTTTTTCTTATTTCTTGTTTCAAAAAAACTAATGATATATGCATATGAAAAAATAAACCAATTAATTCCTATACATATCAAGAATTCCCGTACCGATATTATTTATCTCTAGATATCTACATACCTCTTCATAATCAAATACTGCCTTCATATCTCAAGTGTTCCTATTTATGATAATTATATCTTCATCCATGATATTTACTTTTAAAAATTAATAGTAGTGTTACAGGCTCCCCTGAATATAATTATACCACTTAATAATAAATCCGTTAGTAAATATCACATCAATTATCATGTTCAGGGGCCCTGGTGTGACCCATATGCATGTGAAATAAGAAATTTGGTCAGTTGATCGATTTGTATTACATGCATTGCATTCCAAACTCATCAAAAAAATCTTTCATCAACTGTTACTTTTTTGAACATGTCTTCATCAACAGAAGAATTTTATATATTTGTGGAAAACTGGGACACGGAAACTCTCATTATTTTTTTAAAACATCAAGATCTGAAACTTGAAGAAAGACATTTAGAAGTGCTTCGTAAGCAAGAAATTAATGGACAAGCCTTTCTTCTCTTGACTGAGGAAAAGCTTTTAGGCCCTCCTTATAACCTTGCTGGTGGTCCTGCTTTAATTCTTGCAGAGCAGATTAAGATATTAAAAGATAGTAAGAAGAGGGCATTTTCATCTTTCAAGACCCAGAATGATTTGAAAGAAGTTTTAAAAAATCATGGAATCGTCGATGGATACAGTATTATTAACATCCCACAATTCAAGTCTAGCGAAATCAGATGAGTATGCTCATTATGCATTTATTCATTTTAGTCACCTATAAAATCAGAGATGATGAACCAGCTTTAAAATTATGCATAGACAGCATTCTACAAAGATTAAGAAACATGGGACCAGTAATTGATAGTAATGAAGCAATGAGATGTGAATATATTTCAGCAATTTTGCATTCTGCAGTTACAATACTTAAAGGTCTTATCAAAGATCATGCTACAAATGTTTTCATTTCACCTCAGTTAGAAGTATCCAGCATTGAAAGTCATGGTCATGTAGATTATGCAATTAAAAAGCACCTAGACAATGCGATTGAGGAAATTCTCTGTATAACTGAAGGAAAGCAGTATCAACCAGGAATTGGAATGGCACAAAATATTATGCAATGCAAAAGTTCATGCGATGTAGGTTTTTCATGCCTTATGGTTTTTCAAGGTTGGATTTTTTTTTTGTTAACACAATTCTGCATACTTCAGGTGAACAGGAGAAAAAGAAAGGCTGAGGAGGCATTTGAATCTGATTATGAGTATGTCTATGGTATAGTTTCGACTGGGACGGACTGGTTCTTCCTTCTTTATACAACGGATGGTATTTATTGTACTAGTAAAACAGAATACCGTATTTCACTTACCGAAGCATCTCTTAAAGATTGTACTGCATTAAAAAGTAACGTTAAAAGGATTTTGGAAGTGATTGTTGGATTATTGGAGGATCGAGCAAATATTGACATGTCACCAGCAACAAAGAAAGCAAGAATTAGTAAATACTTTCAAAATGAATGTTAAAAAAATCGAATACTATCATGTAATTTGATTTGTAATAAAGTTTTATTGTTGTGAAAATCATTTATTTTCGATGGATACCTTTGTGACTTCTGGATCACAAAATTTTTGAAATTCGAACATCTAAATTTACATTGCACCATCGGTCAGTTGATATATTTGTGCAACTCGCAGTAAATACTTATTATTTTCTTACGTTATATCCTTCCCTTTTACAAAAAATGTCGAATTTGAATCATATATTCTGTATACATATCAAACTATAAGCCTTATATAAATCTTATAAAATACTATAAACCATTATATTGCTGAATATGTCTCAAAGCAATAATAAGTCTTATAAATGTATTAACAAACCTGGGTATTATAAAGAAGAAATATTTGCAATTTCTGGTGGTGGTTATAACACAGAGTGGGCCTTGGAGTCTGAAAAATTATATGATGAACTCAGTGTAGTCGAGCCGGGTGAATCATATATTCAGTGGAGTGTTTGCATGAGAATCCCTCTGCAAAAGCTCCATCTGTATCTTCTTATTCAGGATAACGATGACATAAATAGGCTTTTTAGATTACGTTCAGTAGATATCCCGATACAATTCACAGATAGAGATACTGTATATAATTTTGTGGAGGCATTGTTGCTATTACGTGTAAGGATTTAGTTATCTATATATCATAATACATAAATATCTAACTTTCCTTTCCTACAGAAAATCCTAATATTATTTTTTTTGTCTAAAGCAAGTCTATTGAAATGTGCTTTTTGCTTTGTAAATTTAGGCATGATTAATTGGTAAATTTCAAAAAAGAGTTAGATTTTTTGAACAAAAAAAACTGCATTAAAAAATTGAATTGATATTCAAGCATGTAATGTGTGTAACATGGAATTAAAGTTAATTCCAGCCAAATTTAGCAATTTTGGTAAGATTTATGGTGAACAAATTGAGGTCAAACATAGAATAATGATGATTTTTAAAAGTTCATAGCTCCATCTAGAATGGGATTTTAAAAAAAATTTCTTCATTTTTTGTTAATTCAAGCTTCAAACCAACTGTTTATGAAGAGCCTTTTGATTTATTTTATCTGCTGACATACTAGATAGATAGAATTAGAAATTTTCATGTAAAAGTTGCCAGGACTAGACTAGATGCACCATATGAAGTAGATGATTGACACATTTATTATGCTTTTGTAATCAAGGCTGCATTCATATATAAAATTTCTATTTAAATGTCCAAATGTAAAGAAGTTTCACCAACACTTGCATCTCAAGGAATAATTGACATTAATTTACACTATGAACCTTTTGTTTGTCACTGGTAGCATGAAACTTCTACTGAAAATGGTTCAGAATTTTACCTTATTCATTTAGGCATGACAATTTTAAACTGAACTAAACAGTAGGAAATTTTTATTTTATATTATTTCTACAGAAAACCAACTGCCAGGATATGTTTGGGAATCAAGAACATATATCTAGCAATATAGAAGCTGATAAAATGTTAACAAGTTCACAATAAGTGAATTTTCAAGTAATTTATTGTGTGAAATTTAAATCCAATTAGAGTGATTATACATGAAGTCGAAACTATTTCAACCATTTGCAGATCTGGTCAAAATAGGGTTGAAATAAGGTCAAAACTGATTTTTACTATGTAGTTGCCTCAAGTTGAAGCATTTCGACTTAGGGGTTTTAATTTCGACTTCATGTATAAGAGTGATATGTCACTTTACTAATAGTTTAATATTAACAACTTGCTTTTGTTGTAATCTGATTGATACAATATTTAACAAAATTTTAAATAATAGAAAGCAAAGTTTATTTAAAAAATAAAGAAAATTATTGTAATTATTTTCCAGGATTTAATGATGACAGGAGAAATTATGTGGTCAAGTTTTGAATAGTTTAATATTAACTTGTCCTTACTGTCTAATCTAATTTCCCACCCATTACAAGAAAATTATAAATAATGGAAAACAAATTTTATTAGAAACAATAAACAAAATTAATTTAATTCCTGTGATTATTTCCCAGGACTTGATTTGATGGTGAGAAAAATTGGTCAAGTTTTTAAGGAGTACTTAAGTTATGATGAGAGTTACATAAATAATTTAGATTTTTTTACTTCAAAATCCAATGAAGTTTGTTTTTTTTTTATTAAATAAAAAATAATAAAGGCAATTTTATGTAATTTGGAATTTATATGTCACGTGAATCCACTGTGGCAAGATTTGTTAATAAAATCCGTTGTGACAAATATTTTTAATTAATAAAAAAAGGGGCCAATATTTAAATCCACTGTGACGAGGTTAGACTGTAAATACCTTTTAATTTATAATAATAAAATAATAACTAATTTGGTTGTTCCATAACAATTCTTTCTGATCATACTAAAAGTAATTACTGATTAATTACAGGAATAAAACTTTATGATGTTGAATTTTCTATCTATTTTCTAAAAATAAATAATAAATAAATATGGCCGCGTAACAATTCTTTCTGACCGTACACCGCCAGATCTAAAAAGAGTAATTAAATAATCAATAGTATAATTGTTATTACAACCAGAATTTTTGATGTTGAATTTTCTAAAAATAAATAATTAATACTGTAATAATTAGGGTTTGTATTCACGGATACCGTAAGGATGTCACACAGGGTTACACACTATTAAAATCAAGTGTTTTTAAGG